GCAACTTCAATTTAGTTTCTGGCGGCGGTCGCAGCGGCGCTCGACAGTTGTCGTTGTCGCTGTCGCTGTCGATGATGGAGCGAAGAACCTGTGGAGCAGCAATTGGTGGCCAAATACAAGTAGACACACACACACACACACACTCTAAAACTTTTTCCTAAATTCAATTCGTTTAAGTTGTTGCCTCGATGGACCAAAGCACTTGGCTACTTTCCCTATATACGGGTATATGGCAAGCATTGTGCATGTATAGCCATTTTTTCCCTATAAGTTTGAACGCTTTTCCTCTGTCTCTCTTCCTCTGGCAGCTCAACTTTATATTCACTTTCATGCCTTCTTTCATTTCATATGTGTGTTTTATTTTAATTTTATTTCAATTTTGTTTACAGTTGTTTTGTTCGCTCTCCACCTCAGTTTCAGTTTCTTTTTGCTCATCGATATTTTAATTTTGTAGCGATTTTACGTTTGAAAAACTTTCCGAGTGCAAAGCAAAGAAGCGAGTGAATACTTTTTAACGAACTTTTTTGCATGGCATTCAATAGAATATTTTTATGTTTGTTTGTGACTTTGTCAATACTTCGGTCGGTTGGTTGGTTGGTTGGTTTGTTCATTTGCTTGCGCTTGATTTGTTTATGGAGTAGGAGTAAAGCAGAAATACTGAAACATCTTGAAATCGGCGAAATTGGCATTGGAAAAAGGAACATTTAAATATTTTTATTTTTTTTTTTCAAATTATTAAAACTATTTGCTGTTTCAAAAATAAACAACTGAAATAGAAATTTCGAAATTTGTAAAGGAAAAATATATAAAACACCGCTATTGTAACGTCGTTTCCGGCGACCTCTAGGGGAAAAAGATACACTTACGTCGAAGATAGAACACAGGGTAGGTTCATCACCATGACAAAAAAAAAAATCACAAACAAAAATTAGAATTCCGACAAAGAAAAATAAAAAAGTCAAAATTGAATTTTTAGTCGATTTTCTTTACCAAAATGCAAATTTAAGTAATATTTGCTTAGTACTTTTTGAAGTTGTGATTGAAAAAAAAATCCTTCGTCCATATCCTGGCGCATTGTATCGCTGAAACATGCGTCAAATTTCAACTAAATAAATTGATTGGTTTGGAGAACTCCTGACAATCGACATTGAAAACACAGTTTCTAAAAAAAACCCGTTTAAAATTCAAGCGCCCGCCCATTTTTTGACTTTCCAAACACACTATTGCAAGTGTTCTCGAAAGAAATTTCGAATTTTTACCTAGAAGGAGCTATACAAAAAATTTTGAAATGGAAAGCCGGTAGGTGGTACATCTCTATCCCTTTGGAACACCACGAAAAACGAAAGCAGAAAGGAAAAAGTGAAATTCCTTTCCATTTAAAGTTTGATATATTCGCCTGAGTTTGGAGTCTAAATGAAAAGTTTTGGACCAAGTTTTCGACATGGTTATAAATATCATTATCGACTCAGAGATGTTAGATCTCAGCCATCCAATTCCATTCCGAGAAGTTTCTCATTTACAATAAACTGTAAAATATTCTAAATTGTAATCGATTTCGAAAAAAAATCATTATTCCTACCAAATCATAGAAGCATAGAAAAATGGCGGGCCGTTTTGTTGAAACCAATAGCAGTCAAGATCTTTTTCAGGCATTCGCGGGCAGACAAGGTAAGCCAACATCCAACGTTCTCTTTGGATTGCATCGATTAATTTGTTTTATTTGAAGAAATACGTGGACTAATAATGGATTTAGCGCAATGGCTTATCATGGAGGTTCCAAACGATGCCAAACAACTTTAAGGGGCACACCTAGTGTAAGGGCCTAAAATAGGTGATTTTTGGGAATTTTCATTAAAAAAAAAATACTCCATCAATTATTTCAAAATTTTGAGAATATATTTATAAATGTTTCAAGAATATGCAGTGAAATTTTTGAAGAAAAAAATTTAATATTTTTTAAGTTATAGTCGATCTTCAAAGGCGCGAAAAAGGGTCCTTCACTGCTGCAGTGATTCCAGCTTTCTCCGAGGATGAAATCTAAACAAAACAAAATTCTCTACCAGACAATAGTGTCTGTACAATGACCTGTGATAAAAAAAAATCAAAAATTGACAATGTGGCGGCGTTTTAAAAAAACTAGTCGGATTTTACCCAAAATTTTGGTCGTTTTTGACCTGCCAAAATTCGATTTTTTGATCAGATCAAAAATCGAAAGGTCATTGTACGGAGAACTATATATAGAACAAGTAAAAAAAATTTGATAGTGATCGGATCATTTGTTTTTGAGTAATCACTGCAGAAAATTCGGAAAATGCTGTTTCGAGAAAAATGCGTTTAAAGATAAAAAGATCGTTTTCACTCGTAGCTAAAGAGACTTTCTAGCTGCCAATATATGTATTATATTTTTATGTGTTATGTATATATATATACATATGCCCATGATTTTGAAAGTGGTATAAGTCAAAAATTTTAAAAATCTACTTTATCAGCTTTTACTTGTCAAATCTTAATAAAATAATATAATCTGAAGAAAGGAGCAGCATGCCATTCAAATTAAGTCATTAAAATGCGTTTATTTTTTTAGTTGTTAACTGAAATACAGATATTGTTGGTTTTGATAGTGGTATAAGTCAGTGTGTTCACAAAGTAATTTTATTATGTCTTCAGATAGTGGTTCAGGTAGGATGAAGTAAAACCTTTAATGTAAAAACCTACTATTTAAAGTTAATAATGCTCCCAAGAAACGAATAAGAATGATATCGTCTTCTGATGAATCAGATGCAGAACCTATACAAATGGAAGAGCTCAAAATGAAATCAAGAATGAGGACACGCAATCCACAGAATTATGGAAATTCATGATTCACATCTTAAAAGTGCCGAACAGGCTAGAAAAAGTTTAAAAGATGACATACAAAAAACAAAAGATAACCCGAAAGAAATTTACGGATTTACATTTGACCTAGAAAAAGCGCTTCCTTATCCAAAACTTTCTGTTTCGGTAGCTTACTATAAACGCAACGTGTATGTATACAATTTAGGGTTTCATAATTTCCACAATGGAAATGCTAAAATGTATGTATGGGATGAAACAATCGATCACAGGAAGTTGCGTCTTGCATCTTAAAGCATATTCGGGACATTACCACTCAAAAGAATATAATAGCTTACAGTGATGCCTGCTCAGAACAAAATCGAAACATTAACATAGCTTTAATATGGTTAAAAATTGTTCAGTCATCTGATAATAATGTTGAAACAATTGATCATAAATTTATGGTATCCGGCCATTCTTTCTTGCCAAATGATCGGGATTTTGGTTTGATAGAAACTAAAATTAAAAAATCTAATTATTTATACGTCCCTGAGCATTATTATAATTTGATAGAATCATGTAAGATGAGAAACCCATTTTCGGTAGTACAAATGGATCAAAAATATTTTATTTCTACAAAACAACTAAAAGAATCAACGAATAATAGAAAGAAAAACATCGATGGAGAAGCTGTGCCTTGGTTAAAACTACAATGGATCAGATTTCTAAAAAATGCCCCATATAAGATGTTTTATAAAACTTCCTTGGATGACAACTCCGAATTCAAAGTTTTAGACCTCTCACCCTCACTAAAAAGGAAGACCTAGAATATACGGAAATATTGATTTACTTCCATTATACACAACCAATAGACCAATAACAAAAGAAAAACGTAAAGATATGATGGATCTACTACCCTATATTCCACCAATTTTTCACAAACACTTTATTTCTCTAAATACTAATGAATAATTTACGTTGTCACAATGAAATGAGTTTGAATAAAACGTTAATTACTAATAAAATTGTTTCATTTTTGGTATAAGTCATTTATAAAGTCATGAAGTTAATTTTGAAAGTGGTCCAAGTCATTTAAACCATTCAAAACCACATTTTCCTTTTAATAAGTACTTGTTTGTTGGGACTACTTTAATGTCGAAAAATCATAATCCATAATGCAAGAATATTTTTTAATCCTTTAAAATACAAAACTCTAAATATCTCGAAACAAAAAAAATATGACTTATACCACTTTCAAAATCAAGGGCACATATATCAAATCGATATCTCAAAAAGTTTTTGAGTTATAGCAATTTAAATAGCAGTCGCTCAGTGTAATCTACCGAAATATGAAAAAATATCGATTTTTTTCAAATTTCACTCTAGGTGTGCCTCTTAAGTTGGCATCGTCGGCCATCTACATTTTTTCTAAATTTTCTTAATTGTATTTTATATGGATAGAAATTGAGACAACAGCGAGAGCTAAATTGCATCAGTTCCATCTCTCATGAGTGGTATGTTAATCATTATTGTAGATTGATTCTCTGATCAAACGACGAACTGTCCGACGGTTTTACTATTTGTTCATATTTATTCATTTTTTTAAATTTTTTTTTTAAATGATTTTTTTATATTTCTTTAATGTTTTTATTTACTTTACTTTATTTGTTTATGGTTTTTATATTTTTTTTATTTTTTTTTATTTCATTTTTTTTATTTATTTTTATTTTTTTATTTATTTTTATTTTTTTATTTCTTATATTATTTTTATTTCTTATTTTGTTTTAATTTTTTATTTTCCTTTTTATATTTTTTGTTTTTTTTTTATTATTTTTTTATTTTAATTTTAGTTTTAATTTAAATTTTATTTTTACTTTCTTCATTTTATTTTCTTCTTTTTATTTTCTTATTTTATTTTTATTTTTTTATTTTCATTTTTTGTATTAATTTTTTATTTTAATTTTTTGATGTTGATTATTAATATATAGGAAATTTTGGAACTTTAATTTTTCTTTTCCAAAACAAATAAGTTGGCATAACGAGTTTTGAATGACTTTTTATTTGTACACTTTTGGGAAAATTAAAAACAAAATAAAATTGACTCTTTCTCCCGAAACTTTTAGCGACTTTAGTGTAACCAAAGACAGTTTATGTACAATATTTATTTTTAATAAATTTCCGCTTACCTGGAATGTCGACAAATCTAGCACCGCCATAGAGACCAATAAATTAAAAGTAGCTGCCGCTAATGAAACCGTACGCGGTGGAATGCATTCACCTGCAGAGTAGTCAATATTAATAAAAAATAAACATTAAAGTGTTTTCATTCAAAAATTTAAAATTAAATTAAATAAAACTGAAAAAACTCCCAAAAGGCTTAAAAAAATTTAAGAAGTCACTCTTTTAAGATTCTTTATCTCCAACTTGCACTTGCACTTCGATGCCGGATATGTAACTAATAAAAACATAAAAGGTTAAATGACTAATTTCCGCCTTTGCTCGAAATGCACGTCTCATCATTAGACTTGGTTATATAACACACACACCGAAGCAGGCAAAAAATTTCGACAAAAAACCAATCAACTGTTAAATGCACTTCGCCGTCGATTAGAATGTACTTATGTACATATGTAAATGTATGAATGAATGAGTGTGCGAAAGATGCCAAAACAAGTAAAAGATTAACGACAATGAATCACAGGCAATTGAGAAATCACAAAAGAAACTGTGTCGAAAACTCAAACTATATTATATTTTTTTTTCTTAATTAAATTGTTTTTACTTTTTTTATTTACTATTCTTTTTGTTAAAAAAAATTAATAGTATTATAGTTTTTTATTGTAATTTTATTAAGTTTTTTAGTTTAAGTTTTTTACTTTTACTACGTTTTTTCCTTAATTCTAATTTTTTTAATTTCTCTATTGTTTTTATTTTATTATAATTTTAGGTTTCTAATTAACTAATTTTTATCTTTTTATATGTCAATTTTTGTCAAATTTTTTTAAAATTATTTATTTTTTTACTCATTTTTAACTTTTTATATATTTTCCTTAGTGTTTTCAAATCTAATGATTTATTTTTTGCTTTGCTTTTGCTTAATTTTTTTATTTAATAGTAATGCTAATAGAAATAAAGAGAATTGGCATTATTATTTTTCGATTTTTGTTGTTTTTATTTTAGTGAGAAATTTATTTATTTAATTTTTTTGATGAGAAATTTATTCAATTTTTTGAATTGTTATTTTTCTTTGATTTATTTTAAACTTTTTAAATATTCTTTTGATTGTCTATATCTTAATTCTCTTTTTTTTTAATTAGTAATGTTAGTATTATTTTCAATTTAAGATTTTAAATCGTCTTATTTTTTCGACTTTATAAATTGCTGAATTTTAATTTATTTTCTTTTAATCCAATTTTATTTCTTAATTGGTAACTTTCTAATTTTTTCAATCATCATTTTTTTTACAATTAATTTTTCATTTATATCAATAAATTTTTAATAATTGTTTTTAGCATTATAAATAATTAAATTATTTAATTATTTTATAATTTTTATTTAGTATATTTTATGTTATTATTTTAGTTTTTAATCTTCTATTTTTATTTCTGTTTGAGTTATTTTTTTACATGTTTTTTATTGTCATTTTATTATTTTAGTTAATAATTTTTAAATGTTCATTTTTTGTCAATTACAATAAATAAGTTTCCTTGTTTATTTCTTAACTTCTTTTATTTTTATTAGAATTTACTTTTTTTATTTTAGTAAGAAATTATTTTTTTATCTTTTTTAAAATTATTACTTTAGTTTGACTTAGTTTTAACTTTTTAAATATTTTTCTTATTACTTTTTATCTCGATTACATATTTTTCTTTTTTTGTCTTATTTTTTGTTTCTTATTTTTGATTTATTTTCTTTTTATTTTAGCCTTCTAATTTCTTGATTTCTATTCTTTTATTCATATTTTTCCCTTAATTTTATTTTTTAATACAGTAACAACAACTTACCGATTGGCACGACGCACGCATAGAGCATTGATATCGATCCAAAGAGTTCAGTGGATTTTGCTGCGCTCAGGAAACGCGTCGCATCTGTGGGTCCTTTGGAATAAAAAAAAAATAAGAAAAAAAACAATTGCATTAGAACACAGTAAAGTAAAGTAAAAAAATAAATTAACAAAACCATGTGAAAATAAAACACTGATAACCCTCGCAAATGCTCAAAACACGATTCAATCACGTTCTTCACAATAATAAATACAATTTTTTTTTTTTTTTTTTGGAAATTTTAATGTCCAAAACCACGTTTTAGCTACTGGTTTTTAGAGCTGTTAGCACCACATACATATGTATGTTTGTATGATATCAATAAAGTAGTTATACGCCCCCGCTTTATTACATGTTAACTGTATGTATGACTCACCTGGCGGACAAACATCAATGAAACGTGTTAAGAAGCCGAGCGTGGCTAGCAACGAGAGCACCACACTTTGATGATTCTCAATGCATTCACGTATTTTCATGCACCGTCGCGAGAGGATCTCAATGAGACCTATTATAACGGCATAACTGCAAAGAGAGAGAGAAAAGATTTAAAATTACATCGAGTTAGTATTTTTTTAAAATAAAAAATCATAGAAAATATTTCCATTCAAGTATTTAAAAAAAAAATGGAAAAAGGCATGGCAACGCTCGCCTTACAATCTACATACTTTTGGACTGATTTCATCAAATTTTAATGCCAACCGGTTTACCTGGCGCTATTTCCTTAGCTTATCCGAGAAAAAAGAAAGATATAATAAGAGTACCGCCAAGCAGAACTTTTTTTGTGGCATTGCAGCTCCTGCAGGATGATGAGGAATACTGCCTATGGTATATACTTATTTCTTTTCAATGTCTCTGGAATAATCTTTCGACATATTGGCCTAGGCCTAGCCTAAATCAGATCTAGAGTCTTTTGCAAAAGAGTCCACATTGAGCTTTACTTCGGACTGAGGAGTCTGCTAAGCATAATTCCTTACACGCTTCTTTGGATGAAGGGTTTCGAAACGTTCGCATTTTCATTTATTTTGTTTTATACGGCATCAATTAGGAGAGTCTGGGAAAAAATGAACTTACGAACATAGAGTTTAACGGTGTGGCCTAATTTTGATTCCTATTAAGAACCTTATAGCCGCATAGTGCGAAAAAGTATAATTGAAATCAACGTTTTCTGAATATGACAAATAACGTTCACTCCGATTGCATATACTCGTAGCCACTATAGGCTAGGTTGCGTTAGAGTGGCCAGCTGTTAAAAGAAATTGACTTTACTTGGCTCAAAATGGGGTTCGTTGTGATACCCGAACTTATGTTTCACTAAGCTTTATTCTCTGTACAATTCGCTTCCTTAATGAATGAAGCTCATTAGATCATCAAACTTCGAACTTCCAGTGCAGGTTAAACCATCACTTAATCTTTAGAATCATTTTGACAACTTCTATAGGTTTTGAAAGAAAAAGAAGCTTCCAGTCCAGTGACCTTTTCCTATCGCTTTTCGATCTGAATTGCCTTGATTTTTGCAATCTCGTTCCACCTAAATGCCCACTAATACCGTCCTGTGTTTAGAAAAAGCATTTGAGGGTGCTTTTTCTGGCAATTTTTTCCCCTCAGAGTTTTCCTTCCCGTTTCTAAAATCCAGAATACACATGAGAGATATTACATTCTGTTAGCTGATCTATTACAGATATAGGCAATAGTTTAGGACAGTTTTGAAGTTTATAGTGAGCGAGATAAGCGCTTTCATTGTTGCTGGACTATCACTGAGTTTTTGAAATTAATTCTAATGGACTTTACTCCCTCCGTGAAAAGAGAGATTTCAGCTTAGCAGACATTGTAATGATCGGATGGTTTGAATGAAAGTACCAAAGAAGTATTTCATGTGAATACACCATTCACCACCGATATCGCGAATCATCAAAAGTAGTAACACTACCTACAACGATTTAGTAGTTATCGATCCATTTATTCCAATTGTGGATTGGTACAATAAGAATTTCAGCCCTATGTAGTATTAGAAGGTCTTAATAATGAGACCACAGTTCTTAATGATTAAATAAGTGGTTTTCCAGACCACAAAAAGGAGTTCAATAGTTTGACAGTTACTTTGAAAGAAACTGAAAATGCTTTTTGGATATTTTCAACCAGCAAAATCTGTTACTTACTTTGTGTTCGTCACCTCAGAATTTTTACCAAAATCACAAAATCCGACTGATAAATTAGCGTTCATCGGCATGTTCCGCGCTCCCTCCGAAACTCTAGCAGCAAAATTTTAAGAACTCATCCCTACGACATCACAAAAGTTCATCACAAAATCTGATTATGTTCTTAGCATCCAGACCATCTAATTGCTCTTGCTTAGAAGACATCGTATGAAGTTTTTGGTACCAATTCCTTTCCAGAAATAAAAAAGTGGGAAAAACCCCTCTTGTTTCAAACGTTTTTTGTTGCCCTATAAAGTTCTTGACAATCCGATGTCGCCACCGTTCTTTACTTTAAAGAAATTTATCAGTTCTTTTGTTCTAAATTTAGTATAATTTCAGTCTTTTGAACCGACTGAACCTTTGTGTAGTCCATCTTCATCATAAGCAAATTCATCTTTTACTTTTTCCCAACCGAACAACGTTAGACGAGCAATTTTATGTCGAGCCATCACCAGAGAATCTCTATTAGCCTTTACGGTAGCCCGCAGTCCTTAAACACTCAGCAAATAACCACCCAAACCATAATCAGAAGCCCATCACAGTTTGAAAGGCTTGGTGTAACAAAAACTGGAAAAAGCTCACCACAGAAAGCAGTCAATTAAAAGTAATAAAAATGTCAACAACTGCTAAAAAGGGCTCCGTCAGCAACAGGCAGAACTAGGCGGGCTTGGCAAAAGTGCGAGAAAAATCTGACCAAAAAATAAAAAATTAAAATTAAAAAAATCTTCAAATCAAAGCAACAAAAGCTCATTTCAAACACGCATAACTCGTTGAAATTTTGTGCAAATGGGCATACAATGCTAGCACTTTTTGGACATAAACAACAACATCAGAGTTAGTACTCAGCTCTCAACTGTATTATACGTGTGAACCTACACTAAAGCAAAAAAAAAATCCCGCATAAAATGAAATGACGCGTACGTGTTTTTAAGTAGCGTGTGTATTTGACACTTGTTAAAATATTTGTCCTCTACCAACCAATGCAGTTGTGTGTACGTATGTACATATGTATGCTGTCACTAGCATTGCGTCGCGCGGTTGATAGTCATGTCATAATCATGCTTGAGAACAGAAGACGTGTTTGGCTGAGATATACATACTTCTCGTTTTCGTAGTTGGAAAATATGTATTTATGTACATATGTGTAACTCAATGCCTTTCACTGCTTGAGTGGGTGACAAAAACAGCAACGAAATGGCGTAAAGTATAAATACATACATACATACATACATACATATATAAATATATAAATAAATGTGAATGAAAAAAAGCAAAAAATAATAATCTAAAATGGTAGAAGAAAGCACCGGAAAAATCCAACCAAATCGCGCAAATAAACTGTTACAATTCACACAGGAGCGTAAACCCACAAGCACACACACATACACGTAGATATGTTTAAGCACACAAATGCTCTCATCAGGACTAACAAGGATACATGCGGATGCAGTAGACATTTGGATAAATAGTGAAAAGAGAAAAGTAAATAAAAACCAAAGGCCGCGTACTTACTAACATTCGTAGTAGTAGCAACAACAACAACAACAACAACTACAACTACAACGTACTGATAACGAGACAAGAGCGACTCATCAACACTACAACAAGACATCACTGGCACAGCACAGCTCTCGAGCAACGTAGTGGTGGCTATGAAAGCATTATCCTTCCTACTCCTTCCACTCCTCCTTCCTGGCCTTCAGCGCCTGCCACCACCCTTTGTCGCCTGCCATTTTGGTTGAGCATATTTAACGTACGTGTTTTTTCAGCTAACAAGGATGTTAATTTTATTTTGTTTACTCTCCTGTTTGCCTCTATTTGTGTTGTAGTTTTCGTCCCTTTTTTTCAAACTTCATTCTGCATTCCACTGTAACTCCTAAACAATCCATTGGATTTGTGCAACTCGAGAAGCACTGGCGAAAAGGATAAGTGTGCTGAAGTTGTTTATTTTTGTTGCCACTAGACTTGAGCGGCTGCTGTTACTGCTGCTGTTTGGTAAATATCGCCAAAAACAAGCAAGTGCATGAGAACTTCACCAGATATGGTCAGGAGTTAGAAAAAAAAAGAATTAAAGGAATAAAGTTATGTGTTGCAGTGCAAATCTAATTCCAATAACCTGAGGAACTCACTGTCAACGAAACGAGGTTTGAACTGTGGGAGATATCAAGCGCTATTGTGAGCAGCAAAAGCTCAGAAGATGACTCAAGAGCTTAACAGAGGTGTAAATATATAATGGCATCGAGTTTCCACTGTGGTGTGCTTCTAGACGTCTTACAATAAAAAACACCAGTAAGACCTAAGCTACCTCCGAAAGGCTGACGGATTTTTTCTTTTTAATTCTTATATTCTTTGCAGAAGAGCGAAGAACTAAAGAACTACGCTTTGGTACCATGAAAAATACTTTTATTTTCACCTCTCGCTTGACGGCAGATCAAATAATCAAGCCATTAATAACCAAAACCAAACTTGGAAAATGTGGTATGGGGTCTAAGTTTCTAACCTAAACGGCTGACATAGATCCAGAAGAAGAACTATTTTCCATATAAAAGACATTATAGTCTTCCTTATTAGTTGGTAGTTTAGCCTGCGTCCATAACACATATTTTGAAGTCAGACCTTACTAAAGGAACTAGAGCTCATTTATGTTTTCATTACACTGATCTCCGCTGAGCCACCACCATCACCAGATAAGAGAAACGCTTAACGGAGGCACGTTTAAAAGTGATTATTTCTCGGATTCGGATTACTAGAGTTAAGACTAACTTAATATATATTCGTCTTTCATGTAAACAAAACTTATCCGCTCTATTATAGTACCACAAATACTGAAAGACCACTTCAAATCTAAAAGGCCGCAATCCCTTTAGAACATTTAAAAAGACTATTCGGTTCTGTTGTGAACTTAAGCAAAAAATACGATTTTATGTAGCCAAATATCCCTATAATGATTGAACTTTCTACAGAAGAAGAACATCTATTGTTGGTGGAAGTCTGACGAAAACTGAAATGAGCTAAACTGACTATACTGAGTTCATAAACAGAGCGAGCAGTCTTCTTCATCAGCGAACAAAGGACTCGCTTTCCTACTTTTCCACATAAATGTATTTCCTTCGGCCGTCTGGAGTAAACTTTAACACAAAAAAAAAAAAATAAATGGAGAGATGACTTTCAAAATCTTGGCACAACTCTAGTAAGTCCCTTGATTTTTTCTCAGCTAAATCAAACTACTCTCTTTCTCAATACAAGTATAAGTGAAACCAACTGACCGACGATAACAAGGTGTTCTGTGAAAATAAAGGTCTGATATAAACTAAACGATTTTTGGGA